CAAAAATATTTGCAGAAATATACATAAAATAATCATCAAAATATTCACACAAAATATTCCCAGAAGAATTCCGAAAAAACAATCTTGCAAATATTCCTAGAGATATTCACAAAATAATAATCATTAAAATATTCATTAAAATGTTCGCATAAATAACCCCAGAAATATTTGCAGAAATATGCATAAAATAGCCATTAAAATATTCCCAGAAATATTCACAAAAATATTCAAAAAATAATCATAAGAATATTTGCTTAAATATTCAGAGAAATATTTGCAGAAATATGCATAAAATATTCACAAATATTCATTAAAATATTTACAAAAATAATCATAAAAATCTTCCCAGAATTATTTACAAGAAAAATCATAAAAATATTCACAAAAATAATCATAAAAATAATCACAGAAATATTCCCAGAAATATACATAAAATAATCACAAAATTTCTTCACAGTTTTCCTGTCTAGGATATAATTGATCAACGTATTAATTATCATGAACACACTAATTTACTAATTAGAATTAACACTATTAACACTAATTAACTCATTATAATGAATGTTAATTAATTATAATGAACACTATTTAACTACTTAGAATTATAATTAACACCGATTAACTAATTAGAATTAATACTAATTAGCACTAAATAATTTTAATGAACACTAATTAACTATTAATAAAGAACGAATTTTAATTAACTTAATAATGATTATAATGAGTTAGTGTGAATTATAAGTATAAACATTATACATTAAAACTAATTATAATTAATACTAATTAATTAATTAAAACTAACACTAGTTAACTAATTATAATAGACAACAATTGAGTAATTATAATTGACAAAAAATTAACTAATTATAATTAACAAAAATTAACTTGGTGTGAACTTCTCCATTTCTACTCAATTTCTCGTTATGACTAGTGGTTAACGGAGGTAATATTTCTAATTAGGACTCTTTATAATTAACACTAATCAACTTCATTTCTCCCAGTTTCTCATTATGACTGGCGATCTTGTTTCTCATTAATCAGATGGATTAATAATTTGTCAGTTTCCGGCGCCACCAAACCATAGAGATCTCCCTCCTGATGGTCTTTCTTTCTTTCCTTCCCTATTAATTACAATGACAACAAACAATAATCTATTATTAATTGTGATTCCCTTTTTTTAGAAAGATTTCAAGAGTTAGGAGCCTCTCTAGGCATCTCTAGGTCCTCCCAGCACAACTCTATGGTCAACTTCCACAAGAGTTGTGCTAGAGGACCCAGAGATGCCTAGAGAGACCATTTCCATATCTCTCTCTTGAATTGGCCATAGAATTGCACTGGAGGACCTACAAATGCCAATGGAAAGGGTTTCCTTCTAGGAATTGTGAGTTCTATGGTACGCTTCCATTGAAAGTTGACCATAGAGCTGCGCTGGAGGACCTCGGAAGGGGGTTGAAGCACAAAAAACAAATCGATGCAATAAATAATGACGCCATTAATAATAATAATAATAATAATAATAATAATAATAATAATAATAATAAAATAGAAGCATTCCCTCTAGGTCCTCCAGTGCAAATCTATGGTTGATAAATTAAAATAAGTAAAATAATTACCGAGAGCATGGGTAATAAACAGTTAATAAACCATAAAGCAATAACGGAAATAAAAAATAAAATGAAAATAAAAACTAAAATAATAATAATAAAATAACCAATTCATTAAATAAATCATGACAAATCATAACAAAATAAATCACAAAACGCTTTCTAATAATTAAATCCTAAAATCAAAATAATAAAATAATAAATAAATAAATAATCAAACAAATTAATAAAAAATAACATAACTAACTAAATAATAATATTTTATTTTTAATTTATTTAAATAATGTAATTATTTAATTAATTAAAGTGTTACTTAATTGGCTCGGGGGCCTCGATGGCGAAAGAGCGTGGGTAATTAAGTGGATAATTCACCGAATCTTACGGATTCCGGAGGGCAAATCCTCCTCCGCAACGAAGGTGAGGCATTAAATGAAGCAATTTACGCAATTAGGTGATAATTAGAATTAGGCAACTTGGGCAAAAGTAACTTCTCATACAGGGTGTGGCCCATCCATATATATATTTCAAAACTCCCCAAATTCCCACCCGTAAAAGGCTTTCAGAAAGGCAGCGTTACAGAGAAGCGCAGGGAGAACAGTATTATTATTAACAAATACACTTCTATGATTACTACCCATCCCATCATCCTTAGGGAGAAGGCTTAGTTTACATATTATCGCCAGGACAAACTACAAAGTCCATCATCCATAGGAAGAAACCTCAATTTACTCTCCTGGAAACATAAACTTGCAACTAAATCCGCTCAATAACTACAAAACACATCATTCCATGGGAAGAAAAGTTTATAAAATTATCCATAACTACAAAACTCACTGTCCTATGGGTGGAAACATGCTTGAATATAAAGTGAATACAAAACCCATCATCATATGGGAAGAAAACTTAAAGAGTTGAATATAAATGTCCTTAGTGAACTACAAAACCCATCATCCTATGGGATGACACATATGCCCCTAGTAAGTACAAAACCCACCACCTATCCAAAGAATGCTGAGAAATCGAATGTAAATGGCCTTAGTAACTACCAAACCCATCACCCTATCCGAAGAAAGCTGAGGAATCGAATGTAAATGGCCTTAGTAACTACCAAACCCATCACCCTATCCGAAGAAAGCTGAGGAATCGAACGTAAATGGCCTTAGTAACTACCAAACCCATCACCCTATCCGAAGAAAGCTGAGGAATCGAATGTAAATGGCCTTAGTAACTACCAAACCCATCACCCTATGGGAAGATAGCTTAACTAACACTCATGGAAACTTGCATATAAAGCCATACAGTGACTACAAAGTCCATTATCTTATGGGAGGAAAAGCTTATAAATGCCCGTAGTAACTACAAAGCCCATCACCCTATGGGAAGATAGCTTAACTTACACTCATGGAAACTTGCATATAAAGCCATACAGTGACTACAACGTCCATTATCCTATGGGAGGAAAAGCTTATAAATGCCTGTAGTAACTACGAAGCCCATCACCCTATGGGAAGATAGCTTAACTTACTCTCATGGAAACTTGCATATAAAGCCATACAGTGATTACAAAGTCCATTATCCTATGGGAGGAAAAGCTTATAAATGCCCTTAGTAACTACAAAGCCCATCACCCTATGGAAAGAAATACATATTTGAATGTACAGCAACACAGTAACTACAAACCCCATCATCCAGAGGAAAAATGCTTTATTTACTCGCCTGCAAACACAAGAGCTGAATATGGTAACTACAAACCGCATCATCCATAGGAAGTTTATAAATATTATTGGTAAGTAGAAAATCCATCATCCTATAGGAAGAAAGCTTAACTGACTCTTCTGGAAACATAAACTTGAATCTAGATCTGTTCCATAACTACAAAACCCACCGTCCATAACAAGACAGCTTAGAAATGCCCTTAGTAACTACAAACACCATAATCTTGCATGAAGAAAAGTTTATATATGGTCTCTAAAACCATCATCCTCCATGAAGAAAAGCTTATAAATGCCCTTAGTAACTACAAACCCCATCATCCAGAGGAAAAAAGCTTTATGTACTTGCCTACAAACATAAGAGCTGAATATGGTAACTACAAACCCCATCATCCATAGGAAGTTTATAAATATTATTGGTAAGTAGAAAACCCATCATCCTATAGGAAGAAAGCTTAACTTACTCTTCTGGAAACATAAACTTGAATCTAGATCTGTTCCATAATACAAAACCCACCATCCATAACAAGACAGCTTAGAAATGCCCTTACTAACTACAAAAACAATCATCCTGCATGAAGAAAAGTTATTAATGCCCCGAGTAACTGCAAGACCTATCATCCATAGGGAGAAACCTTAATTGGCTCTCCTGAAAACTTAATTGAATGAAACTACAAAACTCATCATACATAGGAAGAAATTGCGATAAATGTCCTTGGTAATTACAAAACCCATCATCCTATGGGAAGACAAGCTTAACTTAATCTCCTGGAAATTTATACGTGACTATATATCTGTTCAATAATTACAAAACCCATTATCCTATAGGAAGAAAAGTTTTATTGACTCTCCTCGAAACTTAAAAGCATTGGATGTAACTACAAAACCCATCATACATAGGAAGAAATGTCTATAAATGTCCTTGGTAACTACAAAACCCATCATCCTATGGGAAGACAAGCTTAACTTAATCTCCTGGAAATTTATACATGACTATATATCTGTTAAATAATTACAAAACCCATTATCCTATAGGAAGAAAAGCTTTATTGACTCTCCTCAAAACTTAAAAGCATTGAATGTAACTACAAAACCCATCAAGCAATGGGAAGAAACCTTAATTTCCACTCCTGGAAACATATACTTGTATATAAAGCCACACAGTAACTACAAAACCCATTATCCATGGGAAAAAGCCTATAAACATCCTCAGTAATGCCTCTGATAACTACAAAACCCATCATCTAATTGGAAGAAAGCTTAATTTGCACTCATGGAAACATATACTTGCATATAAAGCCACACAGTAACTACAAAACCCATCACCCACGGGAAAAAGTCTATAAACATCCTCAGTAATGCCTCTGGTAACTACAAAACCCATCATCTAATTGGAAGAAAGCTTAATTTGCTCTCCTGGAAAACTTTGAAAAAGTTGGAAGCAACTACAAAACCCATCATTCTATAGAAACAAGGCTTTCTTGACTCTCCTGGGAACTTTAGTTAGTTAAAACTAACTACAAAGCCCATGACAAAGCCATTGGGAAAAGGCATCATTAGGAAAGGTAGTATGGTGAAGGTAAGTAGGAGGGAGAAGGAAGGCTCAGCTAGACAAACTGGGTGGAAGTTTCTCCATTGACTTGCATGGGCGTTTTGGAAGAATGATGGGAGTCCCGATCCTTACCGAAGAAGGGGGGCAAGTGGGCCACGGCTTCAAGGAAAGGCAGCGTGTCGATTTGCTTGTCTGCAGGCAAAGCCTTGAACTCGTGTTCCAGCAGCAGCGCCATCGCTCCAGCTTGCTTCCTTCTTTCCCAAAGGAGCCCAAGTGTCAATCACACTTCCTGGTCCCGCCCTATATGCAGATGAAGGGGCGGGACCGTAGCGAAACTCCGCCCACGATCCCTTATAAGGGGCGCCGCGTCTATCCCTCACGGATATGCAAATAACGGGGCGGGGCCATGGCGAAGCTCCGCCCGCGCTTCCTTATAAGGGAGCATGCGTCGTTCCTTCTCGGCCCCGTCCCATATGCAAATTTTTATTTGCGAAGCTCCGCCCGCGCTTCCTTATAAGGGGGCGCTACGTCTATCCTTCTCGGCCCCGCCACGTATGCAGATAAAGGGGCGTGACTAGGACGAAGCTCCGCCCCCGCTTCCTCATGAGTCTATCCTTGACAGCCCCGCCCCGTATGCAAATCTTTATTTCAGTTCTTGTGGGTTTTTTCGAGCTATAGGGCCATGTTCTAGAGGCATTTCTCCTGACGTTTCGCCTGCATCT